TAATTTATTAGATCGATAAATTTATCGTTTAGATTAATGAATAACGAAGAAATAACATTGGTTGAATAAAATCGTATAATTATGCAGAGTGGAAAAGTACAATTATCGTTTGTGGTAACTTCTTTCATTTCTGTAATGTTAAAAATCGTATTCATGAAGTTTCATGAATTGCATTGACCTCTCCACTTTTAAATTGTGTTCCGCACCTTTCCTCACTTTTCCAGCCAACTTCCTTTCTATTATTCCGAAAACGCCGATCTTATTGAAGCTGAGTAATTTCGCAGAAATTTTGTAACAATCGTACAGATTTATTACATAACTTTCCCTGTTATTTACGTGTCATGCTTCTTTTTAAGGAAAAAAATTCGATTTGATGGATTTATCGCTCGATTGGGATACGTATAATATTCACATGTATCACGAGTACAATATTGTTTGGTTTAACATCATCGTACACGCCCGAATTCTCTCAGATTCTTTACAACGTCACGATATGGTACGGCCATTTATTTTGATATCAAGTTTCTCACCCTGGAGGCTTCCCGCAGAGAAACTGCTACAGAAACGGTGCAGCCATTCTATCGCGTTCGAATCTCGATTGCTTAAAGCCGCTAACGTAGTTACGTATTTTACGACACGGAAGGACATAACAACGTCGCGTCGGTCTCATGCTTTACCTTTACCACTGGCCGTCACAACTTTTATTCGCTATCGTACTCGCGACATCTTACAAATGATTGTGAACGCAAAAAGCGAAATGTAAAATTATAAAAATGTTTAAAATATTGCCTCGCGTAAAATCAATACGCTAATGGTCATGAAATGGGTATGAAAATTCACAATATGGAAATAAAACATTGTGAATTAGATAAAAATTGTTTTGTAATTCATAAACCAGAGATAATTTTCATTTAGTATGTGCATTATAATTACGTTTATCTCACATTATTCTCCGTCCATAATTTCGATTTAATATTTATACAATACATTTGTATTTCTAAAAAATTTATATATATATACATGTGGAATATTGTACACCAAAAACAAAATAAAAAAGAAATAAAATAATATTTAAAACATTAGAAAATGTTTCAAACAATATTCTTGTATTTAAATAGATATATATATGATATATATAATTATTTAAAATTTTGTCTGTTTTAAAAAATGTTGGATACTTTATCAAATTAGTGTGCCTTAAATTTGACGAATTTTTAAGTTATTTTACCAAACGCTACTTTTTAATGGAAACGATAACGGTTTCAAGTTGTTCGAGTGCAACTACGAAAGCTGACACCTGATTTTTGACGTTTAGTTATTCGATTGCTATATAGCTTTTCCATGTTTCCATCGCATACGTGCCCATGTTCCATCAAACTTTTGCTTGAAAATTCAAAACGATTTTTTGATATTTCAAATAGTTTTCGGGATATTCGCCCATTATAGTTATTCCCTTCGCTCACGTCTAAAAAAAAGCCTGTACCTTGAATTGAAGGATCAAACGTAAACATTTTTCTACAAAATGTAATACACCGATAGATTGATGTATTTTTACAGTAATCCTTTATCATTGAATATTAGAAGAAGTTCCTTCTTTCGCGAGCCTAGAAATTTGTTTTTTGATTGCGTCATCATCTCAAGCGATATTTAAATTCCACTTAAAAAATACACATGTCCCTCTTCTCGCAAAAATGTGCAAAAAATTGAAAGTGACCACGTAAATAATTTGTCGCATACTCGTCTACAGTTCTCGTCTTGTAAATTAAAACCCGTAGCAAAACAACAATGGATCAATTTTCCCGACTAGGGATTTTTATTTTTCACATGATTATCGGTGCGGGATACCGATGTCAAGAACTGAAAGTAAAAGCCGATACGCTCTTCGATCGGCATTCCGAGTTCACAGTAGGAACGAGCGGTACTCGAGTACGGAAGCGCGGATGCCAAGTACCGTAACTTGCACCGCGCGCGGAGATTGAATTATTTTTCTCCCAGAATAATTTCACCATAAAATAAGACCAGTACGAGTGTGCATGCGCGGCCCATCACGTTACACCCATACACACGCCTACCGCTCGGTGGTATCATCCCTCTCGAGAAGCAAAATCTCTCCAGTTCTCTCCTTTTCTCTCTTTCTCTTTTCCCTATCTTCCCGTCTCATCCCCACAGACGAGACCACTCGAAGCGAGTAACGTCGCTATTTTCCCCCACGTCTCCTTATATTACATTCTAGATACGACCGCGGGGACGACAGCGGTGGAAGCTGAAAATTCCTTTCCTCTCCTGTTTCTGTCAGTGAATATCTTATCATAATACTACCGACGCTTCGCGTTTCCTTCCGAGATCAACGGACCCCCGCAAACCAACACATCAACACATTTCCAACCACGTCCAACTCGCAGTTTTTCGTCCACCGCCATACGTTCACCACATCAACGTACGCAACCGGCTGGAAAGATTCGAGTATAATTTCGACATATCTCGGAGTATATCGCACGTTTCCAGATTGGCCGATATATAGTTTGCCGTCGCGACTTCTTCCGTTCGATGCAACCGCGATGGAAAGACCGACGGATGCTGCGCGCCCGATGCACCACCCCAGGAGCATGACTCGGCGATGAGGTGCGGTATTTGCAAACTTTGACTTCGCGCATGTTTCAATATTGCGCCACGTGCCGTACCTACGATACAGCTGAATGTTGTTCGCTTAAACTTCTCATCTTTTTTTTTTCCGCCCTACACTCCCGCACCGCAACTCGCGGGGCAAGCGAGACGGTTTCTTGCTTATAAAAGTGTGTAGCGCTTCGTAATACTTTCTACTTCGATCTGTGCTTTTTCCTTTTCTCAGACGCCATATTCGCGACTCGATTTTACGGTGCTGGCCTGGTGGAAAGAATCGTCGGTACTTTCGTAAAATAAAGCGGGTGTATTGTTCTCGAGAACAAGCAGATGAATCAAGAAAAATGAATCTAGACTCTTTTATTGTAGGAAAATTGGACAACTCGGGAGATCAATTACGTAATTTTCCTCGAGAAGTAGAAAGATGATAAGCGAAAATCTTCGCGTGAATTTGCTGAGATCACGTAAGACCTTTCAACGTTAAGCAATGAGATATTCCACGAGAGATCACGTGAGAAGCAGCCAAAAGTGAAAAGGGGACAAGTTCACTAACAATTATATGATTACCCGCCAGATGTGACAGTTGAAGTTCTCAGATCTTAATGACATAATTGGAAATTAAGGGGTGCTTTTATAACGTAATGCGCGTGCAAACTTCCGACGTAGTCATTCTAATGCACTTGATAAATATGTAATTTTTCTCTAGTTAACTTAATGTTCAGATTTCAGTACAATTTGCATTTTAAGCTATATAATAGCTATATGTTCAAACCATTTTATACGAGTTTGCATTGAATACAAGCGCGTAAATGCGTATTTGAGCTTATTGTAAGCTGTGGTATGTTCACGAAAGCCACGAACGAGGTATTCACAATATATTTTAGATTAACGCTATTGTGATGAAGAATTCATCAACGCCTCTCCATAGTTGGCGTTTTGATGAATATTCATTATTATATTCCTCATTTATATCAGTCTTGTAACGCGTCCCGCGATTCTTATGCATAGAAACAACTCGGTGCATCACCATGTACGTCAACGAGCTACAATTTGGGGCTTGACAGGAAATTAAAACTATACTTCACCGTTCGAGATATGGTATTATATAATATATGCATCAACAAGCCGTTAATCGCCGCTATTGCACCGTCACGTGCGTTTTAACGAGAGGCAACGAATCATGAACATCGAAAGCACTGTGTCTGCCTCGAGTGGCATAAAATATTTGTCAAAGCAACGTGCGCACTAAGCCTGATATAAAATAACGATTTATCGACGGGGCCGAATATTTATAACATTATTTTACGTTATGGAAATGGAAAGTTGAACGAACGATATTAGTTTCATAATCTCACTGCGACATGATGTATCGTTTGCACACGACGTATCACTGAAGCGCCAATAATGCATCGCGAAATATTTATTTTAATCATCGTTATACACAGAGATGTAATTGCAAAACGCGTTCAAATTTTGTGTGCACAATAAGCACGATAATTGCAATTTACAATTCGTAACGCGAAACCCTCGAATTACCTGGATACAATATATATATTTTATTATTTCGAAATTCAAGGTTGTGTGTGTGTTTAGAATTACCTTGATATTTGTTGCATCTTCTAGTGTTATAATAAACGTTGAGCAATATTAAATGCTTTATGTGACTATAATTGCTCTATTTGAGGGAGTTTGTCCCCTCTAATCGTTATTTTAAGTCTATTGTTTGTTGGTTATAAATTATTTTTAAGTACATGCGTGATATAATTACCTATTAAAGTGAAATTATAATTTCACTCTAGAGACAATTGTTCTCAAAGTAATATCAATTGATTGAGTAAAGACGATTAATCTATTGTAGTTAATTATTTCTATAGTCTGCGATCAATGTAATTGAACACATTCAGCGAACGAACAATACAATTCGTGATAATTCATGTAACTCTTAATGCTTGTTATTCGCTCGATTCCATGATTTAATCATGGAAAATAATTTTTAATATTTTATATTGTGAAGATATTCAATAATGTGTGTGTGTGTGTGTGTGTGTGTGATCATTAAAAAGCCAATAAATACGACGTTTGTCTTCGCACATTTTGTTGAACACTTCTGTGTATATATCTATGAAAAAACATTATTAAAACTAAAATCGCGAGTTTCAGAAAGTTTTGTGCAATTAAACTTAATTCTATAGCCTGACAATCTGTCTCTAAATATAAATGACAACGATATCCTTCCCCCCCTCTCTCTTATTTCTCTCTTTTAGAATTTTATTTAAAAATCATTAGTTAAAATTTTATAATGTATCGCGTTGCTTGTACAAGGATCTTAGAACGCCTAAAATTAATTAGGAGTATAACGCGAAGCTTCTTTTGGTTCGCAGATGTGCCGAGCTTCTCCGAGCCGATCGGCAACGTGACCGCCGCTATCGGCAAAGAGGTCGCCCTCTCCTGTACCATCAGGAAAGTGGGAAATTACAAGGTAAGCAGCCGGCGAATTTTCGCAAGAAACGCGGCTCGACTCGGCTCGACGCGGCGCGTCGACGCTCGCAGCAGAACAAGCACCGAGCGCTAATTAGCCGACTTGGAAACGCATAAGCGCACGTTGCTAGAGCGATAAGAGAATCTGAAATTCGGGTAATCCCGTGGAAATAAATGGGTCGCCCTAGGCTGGTTCTGGCAGATGTCAGCGTACCTTTTTGCGCGCGCCGCATCCGCAATTTCTGTATTTTTCCGCGAGCGCGAGTTTTCCGCTCGTTCACTCGAAATAAGACGATATAAATGACAAGAAAATAGCTACACATGCCTATTAGAATAACTACATCAGAATTAAAGAACGATTGAAGATGGCTTCTTTGCTATGTCGCATCAAACATTCGTGTTCGTTCATTTCCCCCACATATTGGCGGCAAAATACATTGTTATATTTTTTATTTCAAAAATGACATAAAAAATATGATTTTCTAATTATTATTGCAAATGAGTTAGATATAAAGATTATTCTATTAAAGGTAATTTTATTTAGTAAAAAAAAGTAAACTTTATAGTCTATCCACCAAATAGCACTCATGTTCATGAAGTTTTCAAAGAGATTACAGCTTTTTACAAGAGTGACATATTTTAAATTGTAAATATAACAAAAAGGAGTCTTTCTACAGAGAACATTTGGAGTTAAAATAGTTTTGGTAATTAAAGTTTAAAGAAGAAATTATTTTATATTTTAATTTAGTGTTATTTTAATTAACCAAATAAATATAAATTGTTGATGATATATATTTTGAGTTATGTCAGTTTTGATGCATCATTCCGGATTTGTTATAATTTTGTAGGAAATTAAATTCTTTTTTTTTCACAACTCCAAAAAGGATTATTTTTTAAATGTGAAATAAAAATGAAAAAAAAAATGACATTTGATTATGTTTTTAAAGTATATTCTTTTGTCGAGATATTAATTAACTAATTAATAATTTTCAGTTAAGTTAAAAAACACATTTTTCAAAAAAAAGAAAAAAACTTAATTTTTTTAACTGTGTCACTCTTGAAATAAGAGAATGACATAAAAATAAAAATTTCTTTACGTCATTTGAGCATATTGGAAATTCAGTAACGCCCGAGTTAACCCAGAATAATTTCTTCTGCGAGCATTCGTATGCGTTACCTCGGGTTAGCATTGCAAACTGCTAATATGAAATATCGAGATAACTTTTTTCACATTGAATCTTTCTGAGAAATAAAGAGAGTAAGCGATATCAAGGCAGCAATATGATCGTGATGCGTTCAATATCAATTTGCAATGCAAATGTATGAGGTACTTTCAATAAGTCATTATATTATACATAAAAAAATAACTTGCTAATAACAGTATAAATATTGTATACTGCATACAATGTTTATTTTTGAAAAACATTAAAATTGCCATTTCGTTTCCAAGCGTTTTGCCATCGACTACGATGCTGATTGCGCTTACAATGAGTGTAAAATAAAGCTCGAAATGATCAATTAGAATTTAAAGTCACGGGCACGATTTTGGTGTAAAACTCATATTGAACGTCATACGGGTGATTTTTTCTCTGTAGAATAAAGCTTTTACGTGCGATTAAATACGCGTCGTCATTATTTTGTGTTACTTTAGTTATAGTGCTTTTAACGGATGCTGATCTATACTTACGCAACAATCCACAAAATAAAATTCGATAACCACAAATTTGTATGAGGATTGATCTTGTCAGTCAGTAATCTCGATGAATGCGTCTTTATCAATTGATCGCTAATTATAGTGGCGCCGCGATATGCGAGATTGAACGAATTTTGCAGAAAATCGTTATATGTATTACCGAACGAGCTAAAATAAAGTGCACGATAAAATGTGAAAATAATGTGAAATTAAATTTCGTTCAAAAATTGTGAAACATTAATCTAAAGTACATATACACTATTGATTTAAAAAAAAAATATTAAAAAACCCAGAGAACGTTAAGTGCACAAAACAATCGCAAAAAATAAAAAACTGTAATTACTTACAATTAGTATGGTTTCCACAAAACAATTAATACATATCCAAAAACAAATAACACAATCATAAAAAGACATGGAAGATAAAACGAATTTTGAAATGTAACTGATGAAATGAATACAGAACATTTTTTCATTGTTATAATATCGTGCGAAAATATAGAAAAAGCTAAATAAAACGGGAAAAAGGTTAATGGTTACGGTAGTATTTTAATTTCTTGTAAAAAAAAAAAAAAAAGCGTTATGTTGATACTGTTATATTTCGCGATTAATAAGAAAAATTAACAAGTCTGGCTTCCATGTATATTTTAAGGACTTTTCATGTTAAATAACATTTTGTATTACCAGAATGGTGAGTAGCACCTAAGCAGCTTAATTAAACGTTTAGATGATATAATACCCCCCCGATATTCGCAATACTGCCGCGGCGTTAATGTTCAGCCAGCGTAATTATCCTGTTTAATTTATTCTACAGCGTCTTGTAGTTTACGATTCAGTAATTCATTCGAAGTACGAGATATGCACGTGGATAACAACAATGCGCCTTCAACAATGCTATTCGCGAGCTTTCATACGCGGATTATATACGCTATACTTCTATTTCCTATTTCTCTTTCTCCCTTTTTTCACCGCGTTCTATGCAGTTTTACGCGAGTAGAACAAAAATCGAATACACTTTGCGGTTGGCCCAAAAACACTCTGCGCAATAGTTGTTTACTGTTCGGCGTACGCACACGGTTAATAATTTTTTTTATAGGTATATATTCTGAATATATGTATGTATATTTGTGTGTGTACTATTTTTATGCAGTGCGCCATATCCCTACACTATATCCCGTCGACAAACAAACTCGCATATTTGTGTCTACACCATAGATAGATAGTAATAAGAACGCTTTATGCACGTGTCCACAAAGAAGCGTTGTAATAATAGTGTGCCTTTTAGCGAACAAACCATGCGGGCATGACGCTAGTTATTAAAGGTAAAATTTCGCTCCACGTTTTCTACATGCGCAAAACGTCGTGAGATAATTCAAGTCTTTTCTAGTATGTACATCGTTTTTAAAACTCACGTTAAAAGTAGAAGAAAGGTGCATCAAAGTAAACGAAAAGTTTGTCTAGAAATAAGGAAAATATTTATCGGTGTGTGTGCGCGCGCGCGTGTGTGTGTGTGTGAGTGGCACACAAATATATATTTTTATGTAAATTAAATTTTAAGAGAAAAAAATATTAAATACAGTCGTGCAAAGTTGTGATAGAAAAAACAAATAGTAAATTTAAATTTACTTAATTTTACTTAACAATTTTAACTAAATATAACTTGCGGTGAAAAACGCTGCTCTCTCCATCGCATGTATTTGTACATACGTGCAACGTAAAACTTTAACACATGTATATACGCGATTGAGGATTTAATCTTTGTAAAACGAAGTAGCAGATGTATAATTGATATCGGCTCATCCGACTTTGTCAATACGTCACTAATTAAAACTTCATAATGCTTTATGTTTTCTTTCAATCACCATCGCGGCTTAAAACGTCGAATATACCATTTTTTTAAATGTAATCTTTATTTCGGATATTTCAGTACGAAAAATTTTGAATCTTCTTGAAAGAATACCTTTTATCATCATATTATTGTTCGGAATTAAAATAGAATTTTAGAAAAAAAATTGATTTTGGTGTTATAAACGTGCAATCTCTATGTTTATTTGTCTTATGGAAACTACGATACTGAACTAATAATAAAAGTTTGTTCATATCTCTATCGAAAATCGATACTGATTCAAACATAACTGTTATTTCTCTCAAAATTATGTATATCGTTATTCATAATACGTGACTGTAGATATCTCGTTTAATATTTCCGTTTAAATGTGTTGTTAGAGAAAATTTAATCAAGATTTGTTAGTATTTGCATTAGTTTACTTAAGTAAATATACATTCAGCTTGAAATGGCAAAGTTTAGTAGTTAAGACTGAAAATGATCAGACGGAATATGTAATTTTCGACTTGGTAAATTCTCTATTTTCACTGACAAGTTAAAATTTCAATTGTCGTTATCAATATAAAATTTCTCGAGATTTATTTTATAAAACATGTCTCTTAAATATCATACAATATTTTAACAACTCTATTTTTGTATTAATAATTTTTTAACAAATATTAAAATCTTTTTACGACCGTACAATTGATAAACAATAAACAAGAAGAAGGAAGCCAATAACAGTCAAAGCTGGATCACAGTGCTTATTATGTGAATTTTATATACTGCATATGTCCCCTCAAAAAATTCACACAATTATAATAAGCACTGTGATCCAGCTTTGACCGTTATTGATGGCTTCCTTCTTCTTGTTTAATAATTTTTTAAATATAAAAGGGAAATTAATTAAATATATTAATATAAACTATGATATTTAATTAATCTTCAGAATATGCTATTAGAATGTTGTATCGATCGGATTATGGCGGAAATAAATAATGAGCAATTAATTATATATTAAGAAATTGATTATATGTTTTTTATCGTCACTAAAAGAAGTTAAGTTATACAAATTCCAAAATTAAACACATTCTAAACTAGTCCAAACCCATCTAATTCTGTATACATATAGTATATACATGTATATTTTTCGTTTTAATTTAATATGTATATTTGATATATGTATAATATATCTGAAATTTTCGCAAAATAAATACAGGTTTGTTACCTCAAAATAAAAGATAAATTTACACTCACCGATACAATGCGTAGCAGCGGAGTTGTAATATCGATTACGATGACCTGAAAATAACATATCGAAATTATAGCAATGTGCCCGAAATAAGTAATATTTTGAAAGATTCTTGTTAAAACTAATAATAGATTTTACTCACCCTAAGAATATTCCGCCGGCATCCGATGTCTCTCCTAGTAGGCCCTCTCTTTCTCTTAAGATGTTAAGATTCTTCTCATGGTTGTCAGGT